CTCAGTTCTTTGTTTATAAAATGGTCTGGTTTGAAGAAAATGTGTGCAATTTTATGTACTGGAGTCCTTGCTAGTAATAAACTTTCTACCTATCAGTTATTGGGTACTTTTTATGTGTCAAGTGACAAGAACTACATCTGTTCTCTCTCTTATCCTCATAGCAAAAGTGGAAGATAGTTGATATTCCCTATTTTGCAGATGAGCATCCAATGCTTAGAAATGTTAAGACATTTTCCAAAGATCAAAGAGTTACTAAACAGCACAGGCAGAATTTGAAACTCAACCTTTTCCCTCCAAAGCACAAGTTCCTAACCGGTGTACCATGTCATTACCAATATACATGGCTTCAAATATACTATTTTATTAGATGCTGTCTACTTGCCCTTTTTTTTTTCAAACTTTTGTCCTTGCCTTCTTTTGGCCTTAATAAATATTCTTTGTCATTCTATTTTTCTCTGTATTAGTTTGAAAGTTTACATTCTTTACCTACATATTATGGTTGAGTTTATTAAAAAATTCATTCCTTATATATTATGTACAATTCTTACTTTAATCAATAAACTTTATACTTCTCCTTGGCAACATATGATTCTTAGAACATTTTAAGTATCTACATATATTCATCTGTCTTCTGTCTGTCTACCCATATATCAATGTCTACACACACACACATTTACATTAAACAGTTTGGGAGAATGCATTATATTCTTTGACACCAGTTTTTTCAAAGATGTCATCCACCATGTCAGTTGTTCTGTCTAGGCTTTTTTTTTTTTTTAAGGGAAATCAAATAAACAATTCTGTTATAAAATCATTGCTACCAAAAGTCATCTTTTGGATGGAGAGAGAGGTGGGAGGGGGGATCAGGATGGGGAATACATGTAACTCCATGGCTGATTCATGTCAATGTAGGACAAAATCCACTTCAATATTGTAAAGTAATTAGCCTCCAACTAGTAAAAATAAATGAAAAAAAAGTCATCTTTTTTTTAACATTATTGTTTGCAAATACGTTGCTCACTGTCATTGGACACTGCCTTTTTCCTTTCTCTTTTTGCGTATGAGATAATTCATGATATTTACATGGAGAGGTCATAATAACATTGGTTTGTTTTGTTCTGTGTTTTAGTTAGGGCTGAAGTGAGGGATTGAGTATTTATTGTTGTTGTTTAGTCACTCAGCTATGTCTGACTCTTTTGAGACACTGTGAACTGTAGCCCGCCAGGCTTCTCTGTCCACGAGATTTTCCAAGCAAGAATACTGAAGTGAGTTCCATTTCCTTCTCTGGGAGATCTTTCCAACCCAGGGATCAAATCCTCGTCTACTGCATTGGCAGGTGGATTCTTTACCACTGAACCACCAGGTAAGCCCGTGAACATTTACTATGATCCCATAATTTTAAAAATGACTTGAGTTCCTCTTCTAGTTATTCTTCTTGGTTTTTTTTAAATAATAGCAATGTGTACATCAAGAAGGAGAGCAGCAGGTTTTTCACAAATTTTAGTCATTCTAGTAATCTTGTGTGTATAATTAAAAATATTAACAATGAAAGAATTACTGTTATAAAGCTCATTCTATTCCTCATAGCTTCATTTATCAATGCTTACAGTTATGTGTGTATTCTCCTAATACATCCTCTGTGCCTGACTCGGTCTTACCTCAAAGCAGGATATCTAAATGCAGAATTCTTCCAAAATTATTGGCAGTATAAATAAAATTTAGAAAATGTTCACCTATATGTTTATATATCTATTCAGGCCTCTATTAGTCCTCATTCAGCAACTTACATGACATGTAAGTTGAAATTACAAACTAACCACATCTAAAAGCAAACTCTCAATCTTCTCTTCTAAATATGTACTCCTTAGAAAATGTTCTGCCATCTATTCAATTACATACACCAGAAAGCTTATCCCCTCCTTGCACTCATTCCCACCTGTTCAGTTAACTATCAAATCATGACAGTTTTACCTCCTGATTCTATCACATTTGCCCACTTCCCTTTAACACCATTATCAGTGACCTTATACTTCAAGATACCATGTTTTTTCTAGTTTGTATTAAAATCCTAACTGAACTGATCTCCTCACATTTAGTCTTAGTTTTCTCCAAATTGTTTCACTCTGCACCAAGTGTATGTGCATAAATTTATTGTGTATATGTACAAACTTTTTGTATATATCTACTATATATCTATGTATAGTATACATATGTACCCAATGATAATAATAAACACTTATTTATCACTTTCCATATATCATGCACTGTTCAAGGCACTTTATGTATTCTAACTCATTTAATTCTCACTATTAGGTAGGTACTATTATTTGTCCTTATTTTATTGATTAGAAGAAACTGAGAAAGAAAATTTAAAAATTCTGCCCAGGACTACAGAACAGTGAAGCTGGAATTTTAACTCAGCAATTTTAGCTTCAGTATTAATATTCCTTACCACTGCATGATATTACCTCAATGAACAACAGAGGATGAGACGGTTAGATGGCATCACTGACTCAATGGACATGAGTCTGAGTAAGCTCTGGGAGTTGATGATGGACAGAAAGTCCAATGAGATTGCTAAGAGTCAGACACAACTGAGCGACTGAACTGAACTGAACTGAACATAGTCACTTATGACTTGAAACTCTTCAATGACTTCCAAATTGTCACTTCAACCTGACTACAGACTCTTTAATGTTGCATGGAATATTCTTCCTTTTTACCCTGTGTTTAAATACTTCTCACCTTTTATGTGTTTTCTTAACCATTATTTCTTCAAGGAATCCTCCTTTCAAATTCCTTTGAACCATGCAGCTCTCCATTAATATCTTTTATCACAGATGACATTTTACATATTTTTGTAATTACTTGGCTAATTTGTGTCTCACCCACTATAGTATAAACCATTCACACTATTATAGTCCCTGTGTGTAGTCTAGTCTAGTATATTTATGGCACTCAATATATATTTTATGAAATAAAAAAGACAGGAAGGAAGGAAACATGGGATGGATAAAATTTCCTAGAGTTGAAAAAGTCCAAAAGGAACATTTTACAACTTCTCTTTCAGATCAGAAATTCTTTTCATATACTTTGTCCCATTTTTTAAATAGTAGTATAGTGGATTTTACAACATTGTATGAGTTTCAGGTGTATAGCGTAGTGATTCAGTATTTTTGCACATTATATTCCATTATAGGTTATTACAAGATAGTGGGTATAATTCCCTGTGCTGTATCTCTTGAATCATCTCTCTATTTGAACAATTTCAAATAGGTAACGCTACCTCAGGAAAAGCTGCTTCCATCCCTGGATGACTCTGATCGAATATTAGAAAGTTCTTCCTTAGCTAGCAATGAAATACAGCACCTTATAAATTTCACTCATGTGTGTTCTACTTTTCATCTTGGAGCTTCCTGGACTAGTGTTATCCTCTTTTTCACATGGCAGATTTTCAAGTATTTAAAGTTATTGTGTTTCTCTCAACAAATTCTTTTGCCCAGCCTAATGAGATCTGATTTCCTGTATTTTTATGACATAATTTATATGACATAATTTTCTTTATGTGCTTTGAAGCCTTTTAAAATTATTCTTTCTTAATGTCTTACCTTCAGCCAGCATTAAAAACTGTTCAATGTATGTTCATTGTTCTTTCCTCCACCCCTAAATAAACTTTGGTATGAAAATACAGGGGCAATACTGCACCTTATATTTTCTTCTTGGGAATTCACATAACAAAATAACATATTAAGTTTCTGAGAAACCTTGGATTAAAGTTACACATTGAACTTTCATTAATGTAGTGGTTCACAAATGTATATGATCCTTTTTCTAAGGAAATATATCATACTTACAGGATTTTTTCAGAATAATGTCCATAAAATTATATACAAATAAATGTATTAATCTATATGAAATATTTATTGTTAGTAACATGTATTTAACAAAGTCGGAAATATAAGAAAACTATACTTTGTTACTTAACAAAATCTTGTTTTGTTTTTTGACACATGAGAAACAGGTATGTCAAGTGATCAGAATATAATTTTTCTTATGTTCACTGAATAAAAAAGGAAAATGGGAAATATATATTTTAATATATTCATGCTAGAAAAGTGGAAATAATTGTTATCATAAGACTTTTTATTAAAAATATATTCTTTATAAAACTTGTGAATAAGCCTCCTAAAATAAATATTTTACTTCTGTTTTGTTAGAAAGCATTCATTCTTTTTATTTAAAAAATCCAAAAAAACACTGGCAAATATAAGAACTGAGCAATTTGCAATTAAGTGGATTTCAAGTGTTAAAACACTAAAATTCTCTCAGAAATGCATTAAAATAAATGTAGGACTTTAACTGCAAGAGTACACTATACTATACCTAAGAACAGCAGGTATAAGAAATAATAATGAACTAAAAATTCCTATTGCTTTGTTATTTAGTATTAAATAGCTAAAATTTTCTCGCTATAAAGTATTTGATGCATTTCATAACAATTCTTGAGCTAAATATCAAAATGATACTTACAAAAGCTACTTAACAATATGAATCTAATTATTTCTTTATAATTATGATAAAGAAATATCTAATTTTTTCTTTTTCTCTAGAAATTTCTACCTCTTGTTAGATTGTGTTCTACTGTGACTATAGTATCTGCATAAGCAATTTTGAACATCTGCAAACAAATACATCATTTCTATTGCATAACAATGTATTTTCATTAATTGGCATTAGTAAGCTGTGAGAAAGACAAAAAGGAACTATCTTTGAGTTGATAAACTATCTTGACTCTGTGTCCTGTTTTATTAAAGAAAATCAGGCTGTTCTATATATGGGGAAAAGCAACTTTGATTAGAAGAAATAAGTTGCACAAATTAAAATAGTGGCCATATAAGCAGTTAAAAAAGTGATTTTTATCTCACACGTATGAATGGTAACCAAATTTCATGTCAGAAATCTGAACTCATTAAATGAATTTTAGATTCTTGAAGACACATTTAAATAATGACAGCCTGAAGGAGCCTGAAGCAGGTCATTAAATCCATAGGGATTGGTGGTTTGATTTCATTTCCATCCAGACGGAGGTAGCGAAGATGAGGTCCATAACTGAAGGAATCTTCCACAGGCAGTGTGGTAGGAGTTGAAGGACATATTACAGAGACGTTCACATCTATGGAGACAAAGATGGTATGAATGAATGAACCAGAATGCAAGAGACTAAGGATGGGAAGACCAAGATGCTATTAAACAGTCCTATGGAGGGCACAGTGGCTTGGTCTATGAAGGTGGCAGAGAGATATTCTTTTTGTCTAAGTTGGAAGTTATGCACGGAAAAAATGTGCAACGTACATATAGTAATGTCAGTCCATATTTTGCTATACTTAATACACAAGACTAGAAAAGACATATAGCTAAAAACTGTGATAGAAACAAAGGTATATGTGATGTACCACTTGTCTTCGTCCTTTGACAGGCCAGAAAAGGTGTGACTAGATTATTGTAGAGTGAGAAAGGTAGTATTTGGGCATCAGAGGTAGAAACAGTGGTTCAGAGTTGGTACTAAATTAATGGGTAGGTATGTGGTAGATGGATGAATAGATGGATGTGAAGGCAGAAAGTCAGTCTATTATTAGAGAAAGTGCTTGAAAGCTACCTTTAAAATGCAAACACAAACTAATCATACATGATGACAAAGTTTTTTCTTTTAAAGTACAATTAAAATAACTTTGTATACATGACACTTGCCGAAAACAACCTTGAATCTCCATACTTAAGTGTATTTAACTGGGGAAAAAACCATTTGCCAAGAATTGAATTACAAAAATTCAAGCCAGGAAATATCGTGTCAGCCCTTTCACATTGTTAGGATGTGAGAAATCGTGCACCTGCCTTGGATCAAAGCCCTTGGCAGCAGCGTCTATACTGAGATTTAGGAGCATTTAGGAGAGAAAGGTGTGTTAAACCAGCAAAATTCTGATGAGTGTGCCTAATAACTGATCTCAAATGAATCCTTATACTCCCTTTATCCCATTTTGCAATTGTGTTGAGCAAGAGATCTTCCCTTAGAAGATTAGACCCACCTAACTTTGGCAATGACCGTCCTGTGGGTGCACGCTGACTCATATTGTACTCAAGGGTTTTCTGCTTACTGCAAAGGTGCTTTGCTCGGATTGTATACCATTTTGTGAATTTAACTTGCTAAAAGAACTGACTTGCATTTTATAGCAGATTTGTGTTCCTCAAGGTATTTTTCTTCACATATATTATCACCTTATCATGATGCAACTTTTATTGGGCAACACTATTTTTCCCCCTAACTGGGTTTTGGTTAAATAGTGACCCAGGTGGGTAAGGTCATATGCACCAGATATTTCATTAAGTAAGTAGCTGAGTCCCACCCTTTTCCAACTACACAGGGTTACTTGCCTACTGAGGAGATCATATCATTTCTGATATGTTATCTCTTATCTTTATCATCCTTATTGCCCATAATCCATGCATGTCTGAATAACTAGAATGTAAAAAACAAGTGTTCTAAATTTAATTATATTTTCATGAAATAATTGCAATGTTTCTGAGAGAGTACGAAGAAGCAGTTAGTTTGAATAGGTAACATTATTGCCAAATTTAAAGTCCCCTAAGGTATTCAGAAGAAATAAACATTTCTATCATTTTAGATAAGCTTTAGCTGTCCTATAAACTCTGCATATAAAAGGTATGTTTCTGGGAAACCAATTTATTAACAACTAGAGTAGATTATGTGGTAAGAAGAACTAAGTACTTTAGCAGTCATTATAACGCAGTGTGATATAATCATGAGCCAAGAGCTCTTGCCAGGGAAATTCTTCTTTTCCATTTATTTTCTTGGAATATAGAAATGACTGTGCTTGATATCTACATTAAGAAACAAGTAAATCAATTTCTCTATGTTGACACTGCAGCTGTGAAAATGATTTTTACCTCTGTTGCTAGAAATTTGTCTTAAGTGTTGTACTCTAGACTGAAGAAAATGTCCTATGATTATACTGTTGGACTGAGAAAGCTCACCTAAGGAAAACCTTGGATTCAGGTCCTGTCCATTATACTTACCCTTTGTCCTTGGCAAAATGCCCTCAACTAGTTGAGCCTCAGTTTTTCTATCTTCAGAAATTCATAATAGCACACAAGATTCTTTTGAGGGTTCATTTGTGCTTCTCAAAGTGTGGACCAGCAGTATTTGTACTACCTGAGAACTAAATCCTTAGAGCCCAACCCAGACTTACTGGGTCAGAAACACAGAGGCTGGAGCCCAGAAGTCTTTTAGAAGCCTTCCAGGTGATTCTGGTGCACATTAAGGTGGAATGTAGGAAAACAGAAATATATGAGAAAACTTTGATGGAAAAAAAACCCTCAGAGTAGAAGAACAGAGTCCTTCTCTTTGTTGTGTAACCTTGTATAGCTATGTACATTCCTTGCATAGGTGCCCAACCACGTGTTGAATTTTACTACCTCACTCCTGAACATTCATGCGCATGGTCTCAGTTCAGGGGAATCCCCAATTCACAAACAGGGATCTATGTGGAATCCTTTTAAATTGACTTCCTACCTCCAATGTCTATGGGACTTTTGTTGTCACGTAAGGAATGCACCTGTGGAAGCATAGCACTTTTGTCAGGAAAAATTACATTTATTTAGGTTGATGTTGGGCTTCCCAGGTAGGTCCCATGGTAAAGAATCTGCCTGCAGTGCGGGAGACTTGGGTTCAATCCCTGGGTCAGAAAGATCCCCTCGGGAGGGGCATGGCAATCCACTCCAGTATTCTTTCCTGGAGAGTTCCATAGACAGAGGAGCTTGGCGGGCTACAGTCCATGGGGTCACAAAGAGTCGACATGACTGAGTGACTAACACACACACACACATGCACACGCACACACACACAACACGCACACACACACACACAGAGGTTAATATTGGCTGTTGTTCTATTTGGTTCAGTACAACAGTTTCAGCTATTAAGATATTTTCCTATTGCATCTTTTGCTTTAACTACAAGATTAAACAATGTGTCTCATCACCATGGCAAAAAAAATCACTGCTATGACAGCAGCCTGCTCTTAGTTCCTGGATTTTATGCTCAAGTGTGCTGTTAGGAAAAAAAAAAAAAATATATATATATATATATATTAGATAACTGAAGAATACACAGTGCAAAAATGGTCTGTTCTTACAAGTGGGATGTTTATGTAATTATTTGCTTAAAGAAAAGTTTAACAAGTGATAAGCAGGCAACACAGCCTTCTGACAATTATCTGTGTTACTTTCCTACAAACCATCCAACTGATTCTCACTTTAAGAATGTATTTTATAAAGTTGTTCAGAAGCCCCCCCTCAAGATCATCTTCCTTAAGGGCTTGTTCGAGGATGGAGCATTCCGGGATACTTGACAGGCTGATAGCATAGCCTGTGGCTGGACAAGATGTTGTCCACTTCTACACCAGAGTCAGCCTGGTCTCGGGCATAATTGTGAAGATGCCAAGTTGGCCTTTCATGTCTCCAGCTTCTGCTTCCCTTCATGGCCCCTCTGCCTCCAAGGCACACTGCACTCATCTCTTTCTTATCAAAGCTATTTTCAGGAGAGCAGTGGGTATTCTACCTTGTTGATTGCCATTAGTCCTAAGGAATTGCCACCTTCCAGGGACATTTGTTTCAATTTCAATTGAGCAAAACCTTAAAGTACAATATTGGTTCCCAATGCATGGTCCCTAGAACAGTAATCTCAGCATCTCTAGGATACTTGCTAGATATGAAATGTCTCAGGTCCCACCAGACCTACTAAATCAGAAACTCTGGAATGAGGCCACCCATCTACATACTCTAAAGTTTGAGAAACCCACTGATCTAGAGCAGAAATTCTAATTAGGGTGATTGTAGGCATCAGCTCTCTGTAAACTTGAAGACTGGGGTCCCTTCCTGCTACCTTCTAAATCATATTCCTTCTCTTAACTATCCATGAGATTGTTTGTGCCTGGTACACTTTCTTCAGTAAGTCTGCCCACTGAGGCAGGAATATCAGAATCTCCTCAGAGTAAAAGAAGATAGAGACATTTAGTTTATCCAACAGGTAATATACCTCTGTAGATTACTAAAATCAACTTTTCAATCTAAGATTTTAACCTCTTGGATCATTGACACTGTGAATAGACAAAGCTTGAAAATACACTTTCAAAAAATCTAAAAGTACAAGAGTTAGAATAAAACCCCAACATTATTGAAACAACAACAACCACAAAAGAAGATATAGAGTAAACTTAATGAGTATCTTAGTCAGCAACACACCCTGATGGTTACTTACTTCTAATTTTGTTGTGATCGAGATGAAGGTGCTGCAGATGAGCACTGATTTTGGGGACCTTTGTGAGTTGATTGTGAGACAGTTGAAGATCTAGAATTGATGATACATTAAAACCACTAGAAGGAAGGCCAGCATCAGATAATTTGTTGTGGTTGAGTCGCAGAAAGGCCACTTTAGGAATCACATTAAAATAATTTTCTGGTATTCCTTCAATGGAATTGTTGTCTAAGAACAGCTGCATTGTATTGGCTGGTAATCTTGGTGGCATATTCCTCAGGGCATTCTTAGCCATGTTTAGCTGCATGAGGTTCTTGAGCCCCTTAAAAGTGTCTCTTTGAAAGGCATTGTCTAATAGCTTATTGTGCTGCAGGTCAAGAAGAGTCAGGTTCTCCAGATTGCTGAAAGTCCCTTGAGGAATTCTGGACACCTTGTTTCTAGCTAATTGTAATTGTTCTAAGCTTCTTGGCAATGGAGAAGGTACCTCCTCTAGCTCATTATCTTCCAGAAACAAGAAAAGCAGCTTCTTCAGTTGGCTCAGGGCTCCCTTCTCAATTCCATAGTTGGTTATTTTGTTCTTGTTTAGGTTTATCCATCTCAGCTGGGTGGCATTCTCGAATGGCTTCTCAGGAATGGTTTCTATCAGGTTGTTTTCAAGATAAAGGTACCAGATCCTTGATGGTATAGCAGGGATTTCTTTGAGACCTCGGTTTTCACAGTACAAAGCAGTAGGGAAACTGGGGGGACAGAAACATTCCCTGGGACAATCGAAATCATGCATTGTCCAGTCCTCTGGATCACTTGCCTCATAAACCTGTCTCACACTTCGAGTCCACACCGTATCTGTTACGAATAACACCCAGATGATGAAGGAGATTGTGGTTGCCATTATAGTATCTAGAGTAAGGGGTACAATTATTAGAGGTTTAAAGAGTTTGACCTTTAGATAACTGCATGCACCAAAATGATTGGTAAACATAGCTTTTTTGGTGAGTGGGGAGGGAGGAAGGTAAAGACTTGACAGCATTTTATGCCTAGTTATCAATCATTACCCACCTATTTAGTGAGCACTATCTGCAAAGCATTTTCGAAAACTGAAACTGACTCACCAACTTATAACTTTCCAGTTTTAACACAATCACGATGAAAACTAAGAAAAAGCAAATTTTAGGAACTCTAAGTGCTTTTCCATTTCGAGCTATTTAATACAAGGAAGTTAACTGAAACCCAGAGTTGAACACACAAGTACAAAAAAGTGACCTTTTAATAACTCAAATTTAGAGTCTACATTGTTCCTAAGAAATAGGCATATGCTTTTACTTTTGCTCCTAAATGAGCAGAACATCTGGATGAGATTTCCCAGGCTCTTTGGCCCTTGAACCAAAGAAATAGAGAGATCAAAGAACATTTTAGCAGTTTTTTTGTGAAGGAAGGTTTTAGGATTTGAAGAAAAGTGTGTGATTAATCGCTTGCTCTGTTGCCCAACTTCTCAGGTAAGTTTTATTTTGGGGGTTTAGGAAAATATTTCTAATATTTTAATACAAGATCAAGCTGTTTAGCCAAGAAATTTGGATTATGAAACTCTCTCTATATAGATATAGACATAGATACAGATATAATCACACTTACATAAGTGGCATTACTATGGTCAGTAAGAAAGAAAACAAAAGAACATGTTAGGGTACAGGTGATTTCCATAGTTTCAGTATGGCTGCTAACAAGCATAGGTTAACAATTACTGATATGTGAGACATTTAAAAGACAGAAATTCTCCCAGCTGAGTATCAGCAAGGCTATGGGAAAAAAGAACTATCCTAACGTGAAAAATATTTGTGTGTGTGTGTGTGCGTGTGTGTGTATCTGTATAACAGTAACATTCTGACCAAGGTACATTTAGTTCAAACACTTGGTAATGAAGACCAAATAAATTTTACTGATTCCTTAAGAAAAGATAAAATGAGCATCATTTAGAAATGCTGATCTTTTGATTTTGCCACTAAATCGAGGCAAGCGCAGAGCTGCTTCCTCAAGCTGTCAGATTTCTTGTGATTGCGGAATGCTCCTCTGGTCATCCTCCAGACACATTAAAACATTATTTTTTTTTCAGAATAGGGATTTTCTTTAGTTATTGATGCTGTAACCCTGCCTCAGATGAATCATAACTTTGAATTCTTAACTTTAAGAGTATGAAAATTGTAAAAAATAGTTTACCTTGCTGTCCAGGAATGTATCGCTGAATCCTGTGTCTGGAGCTGAAGTTTGCTAAAATCAGTTAAGGGAAAAAAAAAAGAAAGAAAACTTTGACTAAGGGAATTTGTTTTTATTTTATGCTGTCAAGCCTCCTATGAGGAAAAAATACAACCTCCTCTGCCCGGTCACCATGAACACCTTTGATCTATTGTTTCCACTTTGACAGAGCCTCAGAACACCGCTTACCTCAGTTCTTGGATCTTCCTCGTCCCTTTCTATTGGTCACTGCTCATTCATAGTAATGGATTGACCCAGGCTCCACGGTTGTGTTTTTATGAATCCTCCCTAATATATATGCATCCATGGCTCCAGCTTTAACCCCTCCAACAACCACAGCACTTCAGTACCTAGGCAGCCCAGAACAGAAAATTCTGACTTTAATCTCAAGAACCCATAACAAAAATTCAGTGCTGAGTTCACAGTCCCAAAGATATCGTAATGTGGTGATCTGGAGTAACATCAAGAAACTAAAAGCAGTTTTAATTTCAAGTAAAACAAAAAAGAGATTTTAAAGCATTTTTCTCTAGTTTTTTTTTTTTAATTGGATACAAAGAAATAAGGGCCAATGTCCTCTTTATATGGAAATCTTTTACTCATATTTTTATTGTATAAAACAGTTGCTGAAATTCTATTTAGATATATTGATTTTTATAAGGGAAAAAGAGATAGAAAATATATTTGAGAAATTTAAAAATGAAATCTGGAAAGCTCTACCTGATGTTGGCACTAAATATGCTGTTATGCTTTGTTTTATAGAAATAACTCTTCTGTCTCTATTTAATATTGGGAGCTTTATTCCAAATAACTATTAAAATGAGATTTTTTTTCTCTTTATAACAGATGTTTTGCATTTAGGGCATTATAGGACCTTATGTTGCACTCTTTTGTTTCTTTAGCACATAAGTTTAGGATAATGTTTCTTCTAGTTCTTGTATTTGAGGGGGAAAAACAAAACTTATGTCTCTTAAGGAAAGACAAAAATTTTTGAAAATCTCATTTTCAGATGTTATCCTGTTGATTGATTATAATCATTGTGTTTTCTAAATCTATCTCATTCTAGGAAAAGAAATGTGTACTGATTTGACTTATTTGACACTACTCACGCAAGTATTATCAGAGAGGGAACACAGTGAAGAGCAGAGAGCACTGGACTCACAAAAGTTTTTCTGAACCACTTACTTCCTTACTCTTAAACACAGTCTTGTCAGCTACAACACAGGGCTGGACCCCCCTCACAAGTTTGTTGTAAAGGATAGGAAATGTTAGCCTTTTTGTAGCATAAACTCTATGCTCTCAAATGGAAAATACCCTTCAATTTAAGGGCTTTTATAGCCCAGCATCTAAATCAGACATGACCTCTTGGTAGCCCAACAGGCACATTCATATCTTAAGAAAAAAAGTTAAGGGTCATTTGCTTTTCTCACAAGGCTTCCCTTGTGGCTCAGCTGATAAAGAATCTGCCTGCAATGTGGGAGACCTGGGTTCGATCCCTGGGTTGGGAAGATCCCCTGGAGAAGGGAAGGGCTACCCACTCCAGTACTCTGGCCTGGAGAATTTCATGGACGGTATAGTCCATGGGGTAACAAAGAGTCTGACGACTTTTTCTCACAACAATGATCTCCTCTCTTTACTGCATTTTTCCTTTTCTCTTTTTTCTTTTTCTAAACCTTCACAACATAAACAACAGATAATCTCTAAACTGCATGACCCCCTTCAGCTACTCTCTTATTTCTTAATTTTCTTTTTTAGCCAACCTTATTTCAGTCACTTCTTAATTCTATCACAAAAATGTTGCTATGTGTCCATCGTAGGAAAATTAGAGTCGTATATTGGCTGCCTCTAAGCTCCAGTTCTAGTCACCATCCCATCCATGATTCATCCACCAAAATAGAGTTTCTCTCCCTTCCATTTCCCTCACATTGATCTGGCAAAAAAAAAAAAACAAACCAGCAATGATCTTCGTATTTACTAATCTACTGACATCTTTTAGTTTAAGCCTACTTGACTTGTGACTTCTAGCAATGCCGACCCACCCCTTTAATGAAATGTTTCTCCCGAAGTTTTTCCTCCTCTTTCCTTGTGACTTCTCTCTATCAGTATTCTGAAACTCTGTGTTTCCTGTATCATTTTTTTTAAGTGTTTCTAACATTTAAAGCTCTTTGAGAGTCTAAGATCTCAAAATTTTTAAACGATTCCAAAGTTTTAACCATTCCCTCCATTATGATGACTTCTGAGGCTCTTGCTTCACTCCAGCCTCTGGAAAAAAACCTGAACTCCAATGTGTGTATCCACGCACTATATAGACATCTCCTGTTGCAGGTCTCACAGCCGTGTATCTTTAACTGCTCTTGTCACTTTATACTTTTGAGTGATGCTATCAGCTTATTCTGTCTCCTAAATATAGAAATCTGGAAATCATTCTCAACTCTTCCTTTTCATTTTGTGAGCATGTGATAACATTTTAAGGACCCTGACGGACATGATATAAATAAAAAGGATCGTTGGCAATGCTTGCCACGTTTGGTATCATTGTTTCCAGACCAAAACAGAGGGTGTTTGCCACCATTAGTGTAATCTCTGTCTGCCTATGTCTTGGTTTTTCCCATAACAATTCAATCTACCCTTCTTGGATTACTGACTCTTGGAGGATGATTCTAACTCTTTATTAAAACTACTTATGTGGAAGTTCAGTAGTTAAATGAAAATAATGGTAAGAATATATGAATCATGCTAGTTGTTACAAGAATTAATGAAAGACTCTGCCGAGCCATACCTAATTCCATTCAGAGGAGAAAAGAAGTCTAGCGTTTAATGATGAGGATTTGGTACTGTCTTTCTAATGAGAGACTCAGTTAAGTTCAGTCACTCAGTCATGTCCAACTCTTTGTGACCCCATGAACTGCAACATGCCAGGCCTCCCTGTCCATCACCAACTCCCAGGGTTTACTCATGTCCACTGAGTCGGTGATGCCATCCAACCGTCTCATCCTCTGTTTTCCCCTTCTCCTCCCACCTTCAATCTTTCCCAGCATCAGGGTCTTTTCAGATGAGTCAGTTCTGTGCATCGCATGGCCAAAGTGTTGGAGTTTCAACTTCAGCATCAGTCCTTCAAATGAAAATTCAGGACTGATTTCCTTTAGGATGGACTGGTTGGATCTCCTTGCCTGTCCAAGAGACTCTCAAGAGCCTTTTCCAGCACCACAGTTCAAAAGAATCAATTCTTTGGCACTCAGCTTTCTTAATAGTCCAACTCTCCCATCCATACATGACTACCGGAAAAACCATAGCTTTGACTAGATGGACCTTTGTGGGCAAAGTAATGTCTCTGTTTTTTAATAAGCTGTCTAGGTTGGTCATAACTTTTCTTCCAAGGAGCAAGCATATTTTAATTTCATGGCTGCAGTCACCATTTGCAGTGATTTTGGAGCCCAGAGTATAAAGTCTGTCACTGTTTTCACTGTTTCCCCATCTATTTGCCACGAATTGATGGGGCCCGATGTCATGATCTTCATTTTCTGAATGTTGAGTTTTGAGCCAACTTTTTCACTCTCCTCTTTCACTTTCATGGAGAAGGCAATGGCACCCCACTCCAGTACTCTTGCCTGGAAAATCCCATGGACAGAGGAGCCTGGTAGGCTG